CCCCCCCCCCCCCCAATATGCACTAACTGAAAGCCAACTCAGCATTAATTCTCTCTCTCTCTCTCTCTCCCCTGGACTCACTTCCTTCTAGAATATATATGTTAGGAACCAAGAATTGGGAAAAATAAAGAAAAGAAAGATTTTATTGAACAGGATCAGAAGATCACAAAATAGGAGAGAAATATCTTCTCCAAGGGTTTCCCCTTCACAAAGGATTTCTCCTTTTAGTTGAAGCTCAATTTACAAATGAAAATATGTGAATCTCTGCCCTATTCCAAGTAGCCTCCTATTTATAGATATATGATGGGCCTAACCCATGATATCCTTCTTAATAATAACCACCACTCTAATTCCCCTTATTCTATATTCTAACAATATACCCTCCATGTGATGGGCCTCTTTGGGTTCTGGTCCAGCATCTGATCCAATCCTTGCTCATCCCCAGAATTGGGCCCTAGATTTATATCAAACTTATAGTTATCTTTTGACATAAATACTTGTGTACGTGTTTGGGAGTACTGATGTATGGAAATAACTTGTGATATGTCCATAAACTGTTTTCAGCTTATTTCAATAACTTCTGCCGGATAACTTATAAAAACAGTTTAACCTTATTTTTCCGTTGATAATGAAACAACTCAATGCATAAGTACTTTATAATAAGTACTTTTTCCATAAGACCTTAATTGAGCTCTTTATCCAAACGGCCCCAAATTGAAGATAGGTAGGTTAAAAGAGGTAGATAAACACTGAAGAAAACTTTGGGAGAAGCTATTAATAATGAAATTGCTCTGATTTTTTTTATTTGATGCATATAGATAAACCTACTTTGTGGGTTGAGATTTGACTGTTTCTCTCTCTTTCCTGTTCTGCAAAGCTTTTATTTTTATAAAAAGCCTTTCATTCCTGTCCTATAGGTTGTGTCTCCATGCTTTATTTGGATGCACTTGAATATTAGGGTTTGAGAAAAATAGTGTGTGTGTTACACACTTCTTTCCTTTTTCATTATTTATATAACATTGAGTACATAAAGTATGTAAAACCCTAGGAGTCTAAGACACACATCAGACATATATCAAAAGAAGAAATAACAGAATACAAAGGCTACTCTAATAAGCTATTCTAACAGATGCCAACATTATGTTCTTTGCCTTATCTTGATCTATGAAGCCCAAATACATAGTATGATGTGACACGGATATGGATATGACAATTTGTTTTTTGAAATATAGGATACGATAATAAAATTTAAAGAAACTCTATATAGATGTAAAATATTGGTAAAGAAAGACATTAATTCTTTCTCATTAATCCATAACTATCACGATCACAATTCACAAAGGAGATATTTGTGATCATAATAAAAAAAAAATACAGTTTTTGCCCATATCATAACTATTTTTAAGTTAACTATTTCAATAAAAGCATTTTTGGTAGACAATGTCTCCTATAATGATAAACTATATCTCCGCCAGTGTCCCACAACCTTGCTCCTCTGGTTTTATACCCTTCATGTTTCGTAAATAAAAGTCCAAGGTTGAAATGCACACAAACCAAATCTTTTACCCCTTTGGGCCCATTTTGTTTTTCTTCAAAGAATGAGTAAAGGAGAATGTACTCCAATTCCTTTCACAACGTGGAAAAAAAAATGCTAGAAAAGAAGGTTAAAAAATAAATAAGAAAATATTGGATACATTTTGCATATGCATCTGGAAGTATCTAAGGAGTATCGATATCCAACACGGATACGACACATGCTTTTCCATTTTTGGAGTATTCAGGTTTCATAGATCTTGATCTATAGTGTAGCAAATGAACAATTTGGTCTGTTTCATTGAAACAAGATAATATTTAGTCATATCAGTTGATCTCTTATTAGTTTATGATAAGTGAGTGTAGCGTATCTTAGTAAACCAGATTTACATAAGGGCACAATGGATTGATGGAAGTTTTTTTTTTAATTTTTTTTTTATGAAAAATAAATTCATTAACATGAAGCAAACGAAATAATTATTTTTCAGGACAAGAATGATTTTGAGCAATCAACACTTCCAGCCCTTGTTCCTGTCTTGAGTACTGCTGCTGGTGAGACACTGTTACTACTTGTGAAGCATGCTGAGCTTATAATAAACAAGGTAGTTAAGTGTTCCTATCAGTTTAGTTCGATGATTGAAAAATCTGTGTATCTAGTGACTATGTTTATTCCAACTTATTATGCAATTTTTTATTCTCTTAGACCAGTCAAGAGCATTTAGTTTCACATGTTCTTCCAATGATTGTGCGGGCCTATGATGATAATGATGCTCGTATGCAAGAAGAGGTCCTGAAAAAATCTGTATCTCTTGCCAAACAACTAGATGCCCAGGTGAGTGCTATTTTCTAATTATTGAGAGTAGGCTTGAGTTGAGTTCTTTTAAAACTATCACATGTTTTCCATTGCATGTTGGTACTTTGTGAACTGGGATCACACACTCATTAAGTTTTATTGTTTCAACTTTCATGTTGTTGGGGACTGTTGAAACTTTACGGTTTGGGCAAGGAAAAGGAGAAATGGAGAATAGAGGCTAACAATGTATTATAAGATTGATAATAAGTTGAAATACAATAACTTAATGCACCTAATTTAGGTGAGTTAGATCAAATGCTAGTACTACTTGTACAAGCCCAGGCCAAAACCTAATACTAATAAAATGAATAATCCTACTATCTTAATTGTCACTTCATTTCCCCACCTTGAGGTTTATATTATCATACAGCCTTAATGTTATTCGAACCATAATCAGATAATCCTGGGCACTTTTTGAAACTTAAATTCAAATGTTTGGTGTTAAAGTAGGAATATCTATTATGTTTCTTATTATTTTATTCTTCCTTTCAGCTGGTGAAACAAGTGGTTTTGCCCCGTGTTCATGGATTGGCACTTAAAACAACAGTTGCGGCGGTATGTTAATATTTTGTTTGAACTTTTACATTTATTTGCAATGCCTCAAGTTGACATCATATATGTGGTGTCTTTTTAGCAGCCAAACCTAATTTAGTCGGAATAATTAGATCCTTCTTTGACTATGGAAGTTATTTAATTCAATGGTAGTTATTAACAGGTTCCAAAGTTTCATACCATATTTTTTTATATTCCACATGCTTCCTCCATTTAACATATGAACATTTCATTATCAGTACAGTTGTTGTTATTATCATCTTATTTCAAATTTCATTCTTCATACCCTTGCTGAGTTAGTGGCAGGGGTTCTACTTCTTTGAAACCTTTGCTACTCTGTTTTTTGAAGCTCTACTGTGATCTTGTGCACTGAATGGGTTTTGGGATGTGACAGGTGACTGATTTATTGTGCCTCTGCTTCTGTGAATGATTTCTGAGTGTGCTATTCTTGGTTGTATAATGTGACTATGGCCTTCCTCTGTTTTAGTGTTGTTGCATTCTAGTTTGTGAATAATGCTTTTGTGCTATAGTCTGTTTCTGTGTATTCAAAGTTTAAGCTACGCTGGTCTGTGTGGGATGCTTTTGTTTCCTTACAAGGCTTGTCTTTGGTAGGTTAGGGCCCTTTGTTTTGTTACAAAGGCTTGTACATAGCCTTAAAACCTCATGTCTAATATGCATTCTGATTTAGAAGATACTTAAATGCCAGATGTGATTATAAACCAATGTTTATAAACACGGTTATGGTGCCACCATGGCAGTATGGTGTGGTGTTTTGGAGCCTCTCCGTCATTTGCCATTTGTCATTTTGCAATTTATGGCATTGTCCACCATTTTCAATATGGCATCTGTGGCATGTCTCAGTTCTGGCAGAAATTGCAGAAGTCATCGAAGAAAAAAGAGAAGGGTTCGTGTTGTATGAGCTGACCTGAATGAGGCCCACAATATTTAAAAACCATAAGATAAAAGAAAAAGAAGAGGTTGGGCCATGTAATCTGACCCAACCCCAGGCCCAAAATGTGCGTAAAATCCCGAGTCTTGTATTCTTGATAGTTGATATTAAACGTTACAACCAGCACCTGAGGTTTCTTCCACTGACCACCCAGCAACAACCATCACTGGTGATGTTGACGATGTCCATCTCTGGCAGCGACTACCATCTCCAACAAACTTGACTTCTCTACTCATTCTCTGCATCTATTCATTTTTCTGCTTTTAATCTGTTTGTTTTCCTTTGCTTCACTCATTCTATTATTTTATTATATTCTGTTTTTTAGTTACAATTATTTATATTTTTGTTCATTAAAAATATTATTTTGTTTGAAAGCCTATGATTATTTTTTATTCATTTTTAATACCTTTGATTGTGTTTGTTAATTCTTTTTAAATTCAGATATTTTTTTATTATGTTTTCAATCTCTCTTATTTAATTGTTATTTTAATTTTTTAATTATCATTTTTAATCACCAAAGTCTTTAAAGAATGTTATGATGGTCTACTTTTGAGACTTGTGATATTTTCTTGAAATTTAGTCTATGATTTTTCTGTTATTTATTTAATTTTGTTTTGTTAATTTATTTTTAGTTTTTATGTATATAAATTTCTTTTTTGTCGGCCATGGCATCCGCCATAGACTGCCACGACATCTGCCAGATGTATATAGAGGATTTTTGCTTATCGTCATTAGCCGCCTTCTGTTATTGATAACCTTGTTGTAAACTTTTATGGTTTACTTGTGTTATTTTGTAGGTGTGTATTAGTGTATATTCTTGAATGATTTTATAGAATAGATTAGATTTTACCTTTCATGTTATAATCACATTTTTCTTTCTACCTCGCCAATTTTAGGTAGGATTTGAGTTTCACAATGTTTTTCTTCCGTTGTTGCAAAACTGTTGTCTACATTTTTCTCTTTGGTTTGACAGGTTAGAGTCAATGCATTGCTGTGCCTAGGAGACATGGTTAACCGGCTTGATAAACTTGCTGTCTTGGACATCTTGCAAACTATTCAACGCTGTACTGCCGTTGACCGTTCCCCTCCAACCCTTATGTGTACCCTAGGGGTTGCAAATTCTATTTTCAAGCAGGTGATATTTCTAATGATGAGCCTGACATGAATCACAGTTTTTAATATTAATAACTTCTATGATCAAGGATATTTGAAGTTGTTGCTAAATATTATTTGGAGCCATACCTAAGTCTGGTTTGATTTCTCTTGTTCAGTATGGAGTAGAATTTGTAGCTGAACATGTTCTGCCATTGCTGATGCCCCTCCTGACTGCTCAACAATTGAATGTTCAACAGTTTGCCAAATATATGCTCTTTGTCAAGGATATGCTCCAGTAATTTTTTTTAAAAAATTTTAGCCCCTCTGTTTTTGTCAATTGCTCTGTCTGCCTCTCCGTCATTAATCTCTGACAAACTTCTCTTCAATTTTTTTTTGAACTTTGTATGTTTTGTACAGCAAAATAGAAGAGAAGCGAGGAGTGGTAGTGACTGATTCTGGAATGCCAGAGGTAAAAGTATCTCCCATGGTTAATGCCAATGGCCTTCAATCTGAAGCCCTGCGAACAAGCAGCAGCACTGTACCTGCTTCAGCAAAAAGCAGCTCCTCCTGGGATGAAGATTGGGGTCCCAAAACCAAGGGCACTGCCTCTTCTGTCCAGAATGCTATTGATACAACCGATCAATCTATGGCAGGCAGCCCTTTGGGTCAAGTAAAGCATTTGTCCTTATCTTCTTTATCTGCTCAGCAGACAACCAAGTCATGTCCCTCAGTAGATGTAGAATGGCCACCTCGTGCTTCTTCTGGTGTTACCCCACAATTTGGTGAAAATGAAAGGCAGACAATAGCCTCAGGAACTTCATCCACATCCTTTCTCGAACATGATGATCCTTTTGCTGATTGGCCTCCGCGTCCCAATGGCTCAGTATCAGGTGGATCTGGAATATCCAGCAATGGTAATTTAGGAATGCCACTAAACAAAGTTGGGTTTAATTCAATGACAAGCACTTCAAGCAATATGGGTGCCCAAACTAGTAACAGTTGGCCTGTTAATTCCCAAAGTTCTGCCGATTCCATTAGTTTGAACTCAAGGAATGCTAGTTCAACCATGGGTAGCCTGAATAGTGGCCTTGGACCTCAGAATTCTCTTGACTTCCTAAAACAAAGCCATGCTTTTCCAGTATCGAATGCTTCATATAATAATGTTCAGTCAACAGCAACAGATATTGGATCAATATTTTCTTCCAACAAGAATGAACAGATTGCGCCTAAACTTGCACCACCCCCTTCCACCACAGTGGGCAGAGGACGAGGGAGAGGGAGGGGAGCTAGTTCAACCACTCGGTCCTCTCATACCAAGTCACACGGTGAGCAGCCACCCCTTTTGGATTTGTTGGGGTAGCTTGCTTCTATTGTTGTTCATGTATTAGCTTGATGAGTTACTGCTGAGCTTGTAGATTTTATTCAACATCCTTTGTTGAGTGCTTGGAGACATTTATTGTGAAAGGGAGATTTCAGAAAATCTTGCCAGGCAACATGTTTTAAGGGTCGGCTACTCTATGTAAAGGTTTTGTTGTACGTTGCTTAGTCTATAGTGATTTTTGAAAAAATTGGATTAATATTTTTTTTATTTTTTTGTCTTATATGTCATATACTTCATTCTTAGGGCATCAGGCAAATTGTATTCAGAAAAGTCCTGATTACTGTGACTGGGTTGAAAATAATAAAGGCGGTGATGAAGTTTCTTCTGTAACAAGGAGTTGAATTCCGTTATGTATGATTTGTCCGTTAGCATAATGAGTTGTTTGTGGGTTAAGAAAGACGGCTTGGGTGAAGAAATGATATCTACTTCTTAGCTTTCAACTATTAGAACTGAAATGCTCAAGAGGCAGATGTTTTGTTTTCGTTGAGGTTTAGCTTTTGGTTGTAACTCTCGAGTACTTCTATGGTGACATTTTCTTTTTTCTAAACGCTTGGTAGAAGCACTTGGAAGTAAAATAGGCTAAGTTCAATTTTTAAAATGCGATAATATCAATAACATTTCTTTAAGTATTTAAAAGTAGTGAGGTTTTTAACATTGATTACATTGAAAAGACAAAAAAAATGTAATAAATGTTTATTTTCAATAAAACTTACCGATTTTAGATGCTTATAATCAGTTAAAGGAATAATGTTATCATTTTTCTTACATACTATTTTTAATTGAATTCACATGGTCATTCCATGTTCTACTAGAAGGACGAGTGCTGCCTCTATTTTATTTATTTATTTATTTATTTAAATTTCTTTTGATTGGATCAGCTCTTAAGAGGATAAAACAGTATCTTTAGTCGCGATTCTATATTTATAACAGAAATTGAATTTTAGTCTTCAGTTAAAGTGCATAAATGATTATTCTAATTAACAACTTTTGTGAAAGACATTAGATTTTTATGTTATTTCAAAAGGTTTAAGCATTGGTTTAATATACCTTTAAATGTTTATATATCAATATGGTTTATTACGGTTTCAATTTCAACATCCAAGATTCCAATTCCAAGTAGCTCTAGTGCATGAACCATTGCAAATCGTTTGATTTCTTCCTCCCTGCACCTCGTGGATTTTTGTTTTACATTTTAATTAATTATTTTCAGAGATTAATTTCTAATTCAAAATTAAAGCTTATCCAAAAATATGGGTTTTTAAGTGATTACTTTTAATTTCTTATTATATCTAAAAAAAATGAATTAGCATCAATAACTACTTTAATTTATATTATTTGTTTTTAAATTAATGTTAACTAATTTTAGCATGTCCAATACACATTTTAAATGTTTATTATATATAACTAAGATTTAAAATAAATTATGTATACAAATATATTATGTTTGAATATATAAATTGCATTTAACATTTAAATAAATAGATATTTTTAAGTATATAAATTATACTTTAAATTTATGATAAATAATTTATATTCTAACAAAAGATTATTTTTATTTATTGATAATTTATTTTTTAGATATTAAAATTTAATTCATAAATAACTATAATAAATAAAAACTAAATTAAATATGAAGTTAAAAAAGTTCATAAAATTTTTCTCGGGAAAAAAAATCCCTAAAAATATTTTTGCGTACGATAATTGTTCATGTTTTATATATATGAATTGATATCAACTCTAATTTTTGGAATAAAAAAATGTCAACTTTAATTAACATTAATATATGTTTAAATATATTCTAATATCCAAAAAAAAATGCATTACAAACTTGAGACTCATACCTTCTACCTCCTTTTCAAAATTCTATGTATCCAAATTATTGTTATTTTTGCATACTCATTTTACCTTGGCCATTATTAGGGTAAGGTGAGTAGGAGACATTGTAAAAGAAGAAACATGTTTATCTTTCTTTATTCCTATTAGGTTGAATTTTTTTAAAGCTCATTTGTCCTAATACAAATCTAACTCTATCAAAGGCCTAGTAAATTATGAATAAAAACGGGTAAATTGTAACAACTTGTAAGGTCACTATACAAGTATATCTAACACAAAATATTGTAAGATCAAAAAGGATGTTTGTAGAATCAAACAAAAATCTTAAATCTCTCAAGTAGCTCAGGAGACTATTTCAAACGAAGCAAATGTCATATTTCATCTGAAAGATGAAGTGTACTAGACGAAGTGCATCATCTGGATTAATGCCACATTTATTTCTCGTTAGAATAACATAATAGTCTTTAAGGAGCAATAACTCTATTCCTTAACAAATCAAATGAAAAAGGTTCTTCAATAATAACATAAACTCTTCAAAAGAAAATGTCAAATCATTGCATCAGGAAAGAAAAGGCAAAATCCCAGATATTACGAAAAAGTGTTGAAACTGCACCAGCCCCAACTGCTCCATGCTGACACTATTCTACTACACTCAAAATAGAAGGAAATGATGATAAGTAACTGCTTAGATCAGATAAGAGATACACACTTCATTGATAAGCATTTAATGCTCACATTTAATATATCAATGGCAATCTCTAGGATCAACAATGAAGACAGACGAAACAACTTGTAAAGAAATTTGAACGTTTAAATTCAACATTGTTGTAACGGTTATCTTCTCGAAAGCTACTATATAAGGATCAAGCCTTTAGAGAAGAGCAGACATAACAAATACAAAGAAGAAACACTATAAATAAAAGAGAGAAGTGTTGTAAATAAAGAAAAAATCATCACTGAGAAGTATATTGAACCACAAAGCTAAAGTACTACAAAGAAGCTCTTCATTGAAAAACCTTGTACATAGCTCTTTGTAGTCTATTTGTGTTGTATTTTCATAGCATTATGTCTAGAAGAAACGAAGCTATCATTGCAACTTTTTTCAAATCTATTTGTAAGGGTTGAGCCAATAAAGACTTGTGTAAAAGAATACTTAGTGTTAAGCTTGAAGAGGCTTGTGTAAAAGAATACTTAGTCTTGAGCCTGGGGAGGCTTGTTGAAATAATAGTTAGTTTTGAGCCTAGAAAGGTTTGTTGAAAGAATACTTGGTCTTGAGCCCAAAGAGGCTTGTTGAAAGAATAGTTGGTGTTGAGCCTAGAGAGACTTGTTGAAAGAATACTTGGTGTTAAGCCTGAAGAGGCAAGTCAAAAACTACTTAGGTTGAGCCAGAAGTGACTTGTGTAAAGAATACTTGTATCTTAAGAAAGATAGTGAAACTCAATTTGGTTGAATTGAGAATTGAACGTATTCTTTGTGTTTGAGACGAACCAGTATAAAAAACTTGTGCCACTTCATCTATTATTTTCCAGTACTTCGTTTGTCATAGCATTTGGCACTTCATTGCACTTTAAAAAGTGCGAGTTTTTGATATACACTTTTCAACTCCCCCTTCTAGTATGTAACTTTTTCTCCAACAAACATAAAGGCCATTTACCTAGGATTTCAACACAATAGTACCTAGACATATCACAAGATGTACATATATAAATGAGAAATTTGGGAGTCTATAAACATACAATTAAAACAACAAAATGATCCCGTTACGGGTTACAACTCCGATATATGTGTGTACATCAAAATTAAAACATATCCTAAGTTGGTTTGTACTATACATCATCAAAGATTCATTCATGAGTCAACACCATTCCCAAAACCTCTCACAACTACTAGTTATTACTCTATAAACTTATTCTTTGTCTTCTTTCATATCAAAAAACAACCATTGCAATCAATCACACAAAATAAAGGTAAGCTCAACGTAAAAGAATATACATATCAACATGTAAATTGTTAAGTCAAAAGAAAATCTTAAATTCCTTAAACTTTCATGTTTTAATGATAATAAACAAAAAGTTTTTTTCCTAAAAGAAAATGTTTTATAAGAAGCATCATCAAATGAAGTGTAAGACGCTATTTGTAGTAAGACGTTGCTAAAACAAATGAAACATACTATCTATTAGAGTGACATTTATTTTATATCATTTATGATGTCTAACAATGAAGTTGTGCATCTGAGTGATTCCTTAACTGATCAAACCTTAAAAGCTTCCTTGGAACTCCTAATCTATTAAAAAGGAACAAAGACATGCTTTGCATTAGAATAGGACAAGCGGATATCTGAACCTAATAAGTAGTGAGGGATAGAAGCAAAAGGTTTGCCAAAAATAATCTGAAATGGAAAGTATCTAGTGGCAGTGTGGACTGATGTGTTATAGGACCATTCAGCAAGAGAAAGGAAATGACTCCATTGTGCAAGATGAGTGTGGATGAAACTACGAAGATATTGCTCCAGCACATGGTTAAGGACATCTGTTTGCCCATCACTCTCCGGATGATAAGATGTACTCATGCAAAGTTTAGTGCTACACACTTTGAAGAGCTCACGCCAAAATTTTCTAATAAAAATATGATCATGGTCAAAAACTAGGCTACGAGGAACACCGTGATGTTTGCAAACATGGTCAAAAAAGAGTTGAGCAACCTTGAAAGTAGTAAAGTGTGTAGGCAAAGTACCAAAATAGGCCCCCTTGGAGAAGCAATCAACCACCACAAGAATAACAATGTTGCCTGAAAAGGATGGAAGACTAATGATGAAGTCTAAAGATAGATCCTCCCAAATAACATTTGGAATAGGTAAAGGATGAAGCAAACTAATAGGCAATTTGGTCTCATATTTTTTTTGTTGGCGGGTATGCCACTACATTACAAACTGCTTAAAGTCGCAACACATATTTGGTCAAATTTTTTTCCTAGAGTCGAGCAAGCGTTTTAAAAATGCCAATGTGAATAGCTAGGGGAGTTTGCTAAAACTCTTGTAACAAAAGATTCTGGTATGGAGAAGAGGAGGGAATCCAAATATGTCCCTTGAAAAAAAGTAAACCCTCATAAATGTTAAAATTTGCATGCGCATTTGGATGAGACTAAACCTCATGAAAAAGTTGAAGGAATTCATCATTGCTCAACAAAGACTTGAGGAGATCATCTAAGAAGACAAAATGAGGCATCAATAAAGTCAAACAAAGACCAGAATCCTTAGTGAAAATTTGAGACAAGGCATCTGCCACAACATTATGTCTACCAGCCCTATATTGAATAGTATAATCGTAACCCAACAACTTAGAAAGATAAACTTGTTGTTCTAGGGTTTGAATAGTTTGAGACATAAGCTCCTTCAAGCTTTTTTGATCAGTGAGAATAGTGAAATGATGGCCCAACAAGTATTGTCTCCACTTCTTAACAACAAAGGTGATAATGTGGATTTCGTGAATATAAGTGGA